CCTAATTTGAATTCATACACTTCGAACTCACTCGTCACCCTGTTCTATGGTTTAGTTCGATATGAGCTAGCAGAGGGACGTAATGGACCTATAGATCATGGGCTCCAACGATCCAAGATTAACCGGTTAAACTCATTAACCTTGTTAACCAACACTCGTTAACTACTAGGACACTCCACTATAGGCTAGTAGTTGCACTTCCCTCACTATAGATATATTTCTGTCCATTTGATATAACCATGATTAGTAAGTCAATCCTTCACAAGTTGTTCGTAACTAAAGTTGGGTCAATTAACCATTTTACCCCTGAAGTTACTTCTTGTTCCTTATGTCCCACTGAACCTCTAATGAACAATTGGTTTGTGATCCAACCAGTAAACCGAATCCCTCTCAGGCCAATTAGAGGGTGGGCCCCCTTGTTCAAGACCTGGAGTCAGTACTTAAGAAAACTTCCTCTCTTCTATCCCTAAAGTGGGTAGGAGCGAATTCCATCTTGCACCCCACGTCCCCAGCCATTCACCCAGCTTACCCCTGAAATGGGAGGCCTATTGAGTCGGCGAACTCGAGCCACTCTCACCCATGCAAATCTAAGGATAATTTCGAATAAACAGAAGTTTATGGTTAGTTCAAGATTAAGATTGAGTTACCAAGGTCATCGAATGAAAAGAAAATCAGTCTCAACAGTAAATGACATTATAAAGTGGGAGTGATTTTCTTCAGGTCCGATCTTATGCAATACTCATTGCATAGGACGCCCCCACTCACATGTCTCCGCATGTACAATTTAGTGATCACATTGTTTATGTCATATACAAAAGTGGGCCGCATCCATAGTGTCTCCAGGATAAGGTACTCAGCCTTATCTCTGTACTATAGATCATTTTAACTATATACATGAACTTGATCTACTCTTTTATCTCTACATATAGTTTAAGTAATCATACTATAGCCAGAGTACTCTTAGTTTATTGGATTTAGATTAACGATCGTAAAATTCACTTTATTCAATAACAATCTTTACTGAATAAACATCAATAACAACTTTATCGAAAAAATAGAATATGTTTTTATTTACCAACTATGAGTTTTAGGACATAAAACCCAACATGATTCTATGTCCTGAAATTTGAAGGGAGACAAGGATATTGTTAGATTCTATGTCGGTTGGGGAGGAGAATGAACTATTCTTTATAAGGTTGTGGAAACCTCTCCCTAGTAGACGCGTTTTAGAAACCTTGAAGTGAAGCTTGAAAGGGAAAGCTCAAAGAGGATAATATATGTTAGCGATGGGGTTGGACTGTTACAAATGGTATCAGAGCCAGACATTAGGCGATGTGCCTACAAGGAGGTTAAGCCCTGAAAAGGGGGGTGGACACGAGGCAGTGTGCCAACAAGAATGCTGGGTCCCGAGGGGGGTGGATTGTGAGATCTTATATCAGTTGGTGAGGAGAAAAAAAACATTCTTTATAAGGGTGTGGAAACCTCTCTTGTATAAAAACCTTGAGGGGATACCCAAAAAAGGATGATATCTGCTAGTGGTGGGCCCCGAAAGGGGTGGATACAAGGAGGTGTGCCAGTAAGGACGCTGGGTCTCGAGGGAGTGGATTGTGAGATCCACTAACAAAATGGTCGGATGAACCCCGAAGGGGGGTGGATACGAGGCGGTGTGCTAGCAAGGATATTGGGCCTCGAGGGGGTAAATTGTGGGATCTCACATCGGTTGGATAAGGGAACGAGTGCTAGCGAGGACGCTGGGCCTCGAGGGTGGAGCGGATTGTGGAATCCCACATCGATTGGAGAAGGGAATGAGTGCCAACGAAGACGCTGGCCCTGGGGGAGGGGTTGGATTGTGAGATCCCACATTAGTTAGGGAGGAGAACAAAACATTCTTTGTAACGATGTAGTTTTAAAAATTTTGAGGGGAAGCGAGAAAAAAATAATTATAAAAAAAACAACCATAACTACTATAGATTTGGGCAGTTATAGTAATTTCAAAAATAAAGAAAAAGAGAGAGGTGGTTGTAGTGCATGCATGGCCTCCATAATAGGTGGTGACCTAGTGAAGCCTTGGAGCATATGATCCAGAGGATATGCATGATGTACTAGTAGCCTTAGCCAATAATTCCTCTTTCCTTGTCAATTCCTCTTTCCTTGGTCCTTGAACCTGTTTGGGGTCTTTAGGTATATATAGGGATAGTTAGAGGACAATTCCTAATTGTGAACTTGTCTTGACTAGTGAGAGTCTACTTAGTATATTATAATGTCACGTTATCCACTTAGGGTCTGTGACACATTAGAGAGTACTACTAAGGGAGCTTCCGTTGTGCTTAGTGAGAGCTTGACTTGCACTATCTAAGAACCTGGAATGATACAAGGGTATGGAGTTTGTTAAGCATCATTAAAGGAGTTTCTGGCTAGCGCTCAGTAGTAGACACGTGGAGTTGTAGGGAGACTAAGAGGTTACCTATAGTGAGTGACGACTTCTCCTTGCCTATTAAGCTTCCATAGAGCTCGAGATAGATAAGGACACCCAACTTATGTATAGGAAGCATGATGACTAGATAAACTATGAAAAGTAGAAAATTAGTTACTAAATGCATCTAGAAACCTTAAATACACCTTGATGAGTAACTTTTCATTAAATACATCGTGATGAGTGATTTTACACCCCTGAAATAAGAGTAAGTAGGGTATATGAACCTTAAGAGTTTGATAGAACTAGAAAGAATTAAAGTCAATGAATTGGTCGGCTCTAGGGTCTTGGTTTAGCACATGACTTAAGAACCACTAAATCGAAGAATTTTGGATGAGAGGCTACAAATAATAGATAGCTTCCTAAGCATTTTAAAACTCATTTTTGTCCCCTATTTTACAAAATTGACAAAAACTATCCTTTTTACTTTCGAGTTAGCAAAGCATATTTAAATTCTCGAAAAGTGCGTCGTTATAAAGTCGCATATGATCATCCTATGATACATTAATCTTCTCCATTAACGTATTTATGAACAAAGATTAAATATCATGGTCTAGTCTTATAAAAACTCATTATATATGATAACTCCACTTATATGTTTGCACTTAAATGAATCAAATCAAATTATTTGTAATAATTACAAATGAGTCATATCAATAGTTTTATTAGGACAAGACACTCAACCTCGTTCATATGCTATAAATTATTTTTTCATATACTATAAACTACTTTTTTGAATATGATTCTCTATGAGGTTAATAATATCATTCAAAATTATATTAATAATATTTAATTTTTCATAAAAGAAATAATGTTTAATTATAAAGAAATTATTAAAAATTAAATAAATAATAGGATTTGAGGCATAAATCTCAAGTTTTTATTTTAATGGGTAAACTACTTCTTTCTCATGTAGTCTCCTATGTTGAGTATTATTGGGAGTCAGTCCACATGGTTAATTTAGTGGAAGATCATACGTTTAGAAATATGATCGCTTGTGGATGTATATAATAAAATGATGTAAAATTCACAAGAATAAGTGTAAGTATACACTATCACAAGTAGCAAGTAATAAATAAATTATTGATTCCACAGGGAACCTATCGTTTTGGTTAATTTTATCGCAAGAAATTAAGTGAGTTTTCAGGTAACATTCGAATGGGTGTTAGAAATTTTAACTATTTAAACAAAACTAAAAGAGAGTGTCACTATTGTCGAAAAACAGAAAATGATGAGAAAATCAACTATAATGAGGAAGGTTCGGCTAAGAGAGATTAAATAGATAAGTTGTTGAGTTTTGTGGTAGATTGTAGTTCCTTTTAATAGATTCTCAAGCCCACTTCCGAGGGTCATGAATGGTGATTATTTCCATAATCGTTGTAATTTCTATTAACAAGGCTCTAGGAGAAAAATTATTCTTGACCCTTCCATTACCCTTCAAGTCTCCTTGTTATGGAACTAGAGTATTAAAGAGGATTTCATTGCTCCCTCTCTTCTCCCGAATAAGAGAACAACTATGTATGTAAAGTAGCTAATTAAACATACATATAAATCATTAACAACTCTTTAATAAACTAAAATCATACCGTCAACATACTTAAACTATATAAAACTCTCTCGCCTCCCCTATTAAGTTTAGCTCTCCATACAAACTAAATTAAACAGAGGAATCCGCATCTTCATCATGTAAAATTGATAGAATAAGGAAAGAGGATAAGGAAATAGAGAGTTATCCCGGTTTGTTGTCGTTCGTCAATTGAAGTTCCCTTCTCTTGAGCTCTCACGTCTACCTCTTTGCCCTAATCAATCCTTGTTGGTCTCCTTTTCCTTCTGCTGTCAACAGCTGTTGAATGAGGGTTTTCTTCTTCTTCTCTAGTTTCACAACCGTTCACTACAGCAAAGGCTATTGCTGTGTAATTCGATTTTTTTACCCAAAGTGTGGCTCCTCTCCTCTTGGTCTTCCTTTTCCTTTTATATTGAGCATATGTTCCTCATTCGGTAGTCAATGGCCCACTTGTACTGATGATGTGGATTTAAAATTTCCATGTCATCCCTCATTTGTTCCAAATTTGCTACTTCCACATGGTTTAGCATAAATGTTTGAAATTTTACCATATAACTCAATTAAATATACAATTAAGATCGATTTATGCCAAATCATTTTTTTTTTCATGTTAGAACGTAATAAACGATTTCATGCTCACTAAGTAGAATAAATGGGGTAATAAATGAGAAAATGGTGAATAAGAGTGCAATATTAACTACAAAAAGACTTGATATAACTCTACTTTTAGAGAGTTATCAAAATACTATCTCCATTCGTAGCCTTTTAGAGAGTTATCAAAAATACTATCTCCATTCGTAGCCTTTTGAGGGAGCCTAAAGTAAAGCTACCGAGCGCTTATGCTTAAAGTGGACAATATTGTAAAAAGTATTTTTTTCAATTTAGACATATTTTCAATTATTAATTGGGAGTGATGGTTCAATTAAATGGTGATCAAGCAATATTTGGATTATTTGGGTTTCTTTCTCCTTCAATTCTCCTCTCTCTTCCACTTCAATCCACAACCGGAGCCCTCTGTGTTCTCGACTTCCTTCAGCGCTTCCCTCTCTCCTCCCGTCCGCCTGAGCTAAAGCCGTTCCTATACACACATATATATGCGTACGTATGTTTCTCAATATATGTTTTTTTATTGGTGAATCGTTTTTTGCTGCTTGATATTTGAACTTGTATGTTTAAATCCATTTTGAAGGATCAAATGTTTGAATTGTCAATGTTTGAGCTTTGTAGGTTTGCTTTAGTGGTGTGGATTTGTGTGTGTGCTCGTCTCCAGTATTTTTGTAGGCATATGGATAACAGTTCTGTTGGGAACTCAGAAATGGTGACTGAAGCTGGATGGTATATTCTTGGTGAAGATCAGCAACATGTTGGTCCATATGCATTTTCTGAATTGCGTGGTCAGTTATAAGAACTGAACAGAACATTTCTGTATATATAGCTGATTGATATTGTTCCAAACATCACTTGTGGTTTTTTTGTTATTCGCGAGGGCAATATATGAGTGACATACAGGAATCGAAATGTACCTTGGTACCTCATGCCATGACAACTCTTACTTATATCTTGTGAACTGCCGGTTATTCCTCGAATTTACTTAAGTTCTTTCTTTCTTGAATTTCAGTTTTACAAGTATCAATAGCACGCTGTATCATGTTCACTTGGTTAAGAGCTATTGAAACATCTATTTAGTTATTTATTCGCCCTGGGCAGAGCATTTTCTAAATGGGTATCTCTTGGAAAGTACACTGGCCTGGTCTGAAGGACAAAGTGAATAGCAGCCATTATCTTCTGTTCCTGGGTTGACAACGAAAGTATTTGAACAAGAGTCTGATTCGTCAGCTGCAGGTGAAGTCTTGTTCATGTCTCATTAATTATGTTCATGAGTAACTAGTCTAGTCAAATTATTGCTTAATGCTCTTTGAGTGTTTTAGTTCCCGCCAACGATGATGATGATGAGCTTGAGAAATATCAGAAGGGAGTTGGAGAAGTAGCCACAGCTGAAGTGTCTAATCCTTCTGGTAGTAGGAATTTTGGTATGGTGGAAGGTGATCTGGACAGACCTACTACACCACGAGAGGGAGAGGAGGAATTCACCGATGATGATGGGATTACATACAAGTGGGACAGGGCTCTCAGGGCCTGGGTACCTCAGGTATTTTTCTGTGAAACCTTGTTCATGATGTAGTAGTGAATTTGTGGCGTCTTATGTTTTCCTTGAAAGAGTCATAAAGTTTGAAACGTGAAATCAGTTGCCAAGCTTTATAGATCTAAGTCTTATTCCCCCCACCTTTCTAGTTTTCCTTTACTTTGTTTTTCTTCTATGCATAGAAATTTACAAGGTTGATTTGTTAGAAATTCAACCATAAACAAAAGATCTTTTATTTTATATGTACATTCCACATAAGGCTATGTCTTTTAGTTTTTCTGACGTCATTCTTTTTTTTAGTTTTATATCCTATCTTCTCATGGATTCATGTATGATCGTAGCATAATAATCTTGGTGCACTCTTTCTTTGTAATCAATCAAAATTGTAATGAACAGGAAGTTTTGTGGCATAAGGTGTTTATGGAAAAGATCCTATTGGGTGACACGGTCGGAAGTGATAGGAGTCCTTGGGATGTTACATATATTCTTAATTGAAACCAACTTTTCATTAAATTAGTGAAAATTTACCAAGTATGATGCTCGCTTTTGGTGTATACAAGTTAACCCTATACAATAGGAATACCCAGACCCTAAAAAGGTTGTAAACATTCAAAAGAAACAATGGCTCCCCAAAATAAGGGGAGATTTTAGAAATGATCTCCAATTACACCCGACATCCTGGAAAAAAATGTTACTGAATGGTGTGAATATTGAAAACTAAGAAGATGCTTTATACTTAGCTACATCAACTCTCTCATCCCATTTAGTGATTTTTTTTTTTTTTTTTTCACGTGATCTTTGATTTCTTTACTGTAATTTTGAAGTTGTTGCTTTGACTGCATTCAATCATTTCAGTTTAAATTAGCTTTTTAACTTGAATTCTCAAATAAATCGAAGAAATAATTTGCTTGGACCCACCATCCATCACCTAATAGATGTTGAATTGTCGAAGAAGGGATTGCAAACACTTCTTCTGCATATTAAGAATGAAGAAAATCATGATTTTGTTCTTCACAATCCTTTGTGTATAAAATACATGCTGTAGGGAATAATCTCATAAGAGGCAATTTTTTTTTTTTCCTTTTTTGAAGTCTATCTGCTTGGCCATTGTATTGAAAAATCCAAATCAAATTATTACCCTTCTTGGACTTTTTGTCTTTCAACAAGCTTTGGACGAAACTGTATATAACAAAGGAGCATTTTTGAGAGCCCTTACAAATGAGTGAACCAAAAACATTCTAGAAGGATATAATCCCCCAACTCTTTTGCCGACTCTGCTTATGGTATGAAGTCTTCCCTTCAACATAGTCATCAAAAAACTAAATTTGAAAATTTTCCCCCTTTGAGTTCTTCTAGAAGTAATCTTCCAAGAACCACATTCCAAACAATCAGACAACATGCCCACCTTATTAGCTATCGCTTAAAAAAAGCAATAAATTGATCATCCAAGGCCCTTCCCCTCCCTTGAACGAAATTCTAAATGACATCGAAGCTTTGAGTTTCAAGATATTCCACCAAGGAATTTTGGGACTCCATTTTGCTTTTAGTTCGTAGAATGGTGATTCCTTTTGGAAGTTGATGCTTTGTGGCATGGAATCATTGCATATATGGTTGCCTCCCTATTGAGTGGGTCTGAAATAATAGGGTTAAAGCAATTTTAGGAGCACGTGATAGTTCATTGCCTTGGGTTTGATGAACTTCTCTTGCTTTATGCATTACTATGTGTGGGATGGTTCAATTCGTTTTTGGTTGGTTTTGTACCCACATGGGGTTAATGTTTGTTTCTGGACTATTAGTCCTTCTAGTGAGTCTCTCATTATTATATTTTTTTTTTTTTTTACTTTTCTTGGCTGATCTCTTTTTTTTATTTAATGATGAACCAAAATTTCATTGAGAAAAATGAAAGAATACAAGATCATACAAAAAAAAAAAAAAAAAAAAAAAAAC